AAACAGAGGCAAAGCCAAGTGACAGGCCCTGGGCCGAGAGCCCTCACGCCTTCCTATCCGGGAAGGCGACCGTTCCGTGACAGGTCGAACCGTGCATCAGAGTGACGCGTCGGCTCTCGCGCTAAGCCACGTGATGGCACCGTCCTTCTGCCGAGAGAAGTCCGTTGAGTAAGTGACTTCAACACGAAGTTGTGCGCGATCGATTGGCGTGGTCATGAAAGGCCGCGGCCTGCGCGTGTAAAAGTGTCACGACGTCATGATGATGGGGAATTTAACTCCCGATTGGCAGCTATTTCGCTATTTTTAGACACGTTTAATTTTACATTTCCTCAAACTGTCAAAGGAACCGCCATTCCCGGGCAGTTTCGGCCGATGCAGTTTTAAAAACCGCCAACGCTTCCCACAGTGTCTTCGGGCGGAACGGTCTGTTGTTTCTGATCGCTGCTCTTTGCTGCCGTTTAGTGAGAAGGTCAATCGCCAGATATCAGTTGTAGAAACAACATAGGGACTTCATGGTATAAGAATGCTTCTGTCTGAGGTGCCTTTCACCCCACCTTCAATGTTCGGGCATCAGCACCGTCTATGGAGTCCACGGGGCTACTCCGTGAATTCATGGCAACACCGTCATCTGCGTGCCTCTTGTCCCGTCGGGATTTCGGAGTCCATGCACCAATCAAAGGATCCGCCTTTGGGCCTCCGTAGCACTGAACTTTGTGTACTGCTTTCGGTACGATCTTCGGAGACTGCCGACTGAGTCCAAAGGTGGGTGATGGCTACGCACAGTCTAGGTCACGATAAGTCCGTAAAGCGGCAGTACGTCGGCAGACTGGCGATCAGCGCGACCAGCTGTCCCTGTCACGGCGTGGGAAGGAAGCAAGCCCCTCCCCGTTGTGAGACGATAACCCCCCTCAACACCAGTTGGATCGGGGTCCAAATGATGCTAGCTATAATATATGTCATGGAATCCTCGGTTGTCGAATTGGGAGTGACAAAAGATAAAGAGCGAAAAACTAGGTGTACACCTTTTGGCCTAGTGGTTCAATCGCGCTGATAGCTGCTTTATCGTGTGAAATCCCACAAAGTCGATGCTCTAAGTCATCGGTTCGATTCCTGAGACCTACAAGCTTAATATACATGCCTACCGGCGCCACTCTGACGAGTTACATCACGTGCACTCGAGGCCCCTATTGCTTGAAAATATAGCCGTCGACCTTTCTATTGTACGCAACACCACATTCATTACTTATACTCTCCCACGAGGAACGGACGGACGCTGGCGTCAAAATCCTAGTGGCGGCGCGAATGTAGGTAATCATGGGTGCATGGTTTTGCACACTCGCTTGGGGACAACAGATGGAGCGGATACATATAGGAGGTTGCATTCCAGTTTAGTAGACACAGATACGGATACAAATGTCCTTTTTAATTTAAAGTTCAACACTGATTGTGCACCTCCTCAACTGGCCTCTTTGAAAAACGGAGGTGTATGACCTTTTCAGCTATGTGGGAACGGTCGTAGTGCATGATTATTTTATCTTCGTGATCAACCTTCTGGATGTCGAGCAGGATCTTCTTCAGTCGGCCAAGTATTTCCTCGCAAGAAAGACCAGCATTCATTGAACGTTGGTTAGAAGGAATCCACGCCTTGATGGTCTTCAAGTGTGGAAGTCCCGAAAGGGCACTGAAGAGTTTGAACTGTAAAAAGGCATCATGAACAAGAATTATAGATCGACGGAAGCGACAAACCGCCTGACTGTGAGTGTCTGGGGGATAGAAGCCCATGTCACAGGAGACCATCCGGAGATTGGGGAAGAGATAAAGGTCTAAAGACGATTCACTGGAAGGCCAGTGCATTCAAGAGTAGATGCCTACCAGAACATGTGGAAGAGGAAAATCGGTATCCAACGTCTTCCAGCGACGGAGTCGAGGCAGCAAATTCTCTGTATCGCGGGTCTGAATTCCACCAGGGGTATGACCAAGGGCTCTTGACGCTTTGGACTCGGTGGCAGGACAGCATTAATGGGTAGGCAAACTTTTCAAGCACCAAATTCTTGATCTGAGGATATGCATGGTTCTTGAAGGCGTTTTTCACAGGTGTCTCTCTCCCTTTCTTATGAGCACCGAAGGAAATGACTAATCTCACTGTATGGAGGTTGGGAAACATAGCCATGCAACGGGCAAGCTCTCGCAGAACGGAGTCGATGGAAGTATCCATTATTTGAACATTCACGACCCTCCACCGTGAAGTATACGTCAGCCTCCTGCCACCCAGCAAAGAAAGGAAGTGGTACTCACTGGACAAACTCGGCCAGGCTAGGATCGCGAATCGTGACAATCTCAAGCGGTCGGACCAGTTCCAGGTTGATCTCCTTGTTCTCAGAAACGCCCCCACCGCGCAATATGCATCCGTTGACTGTCATGTCCCGACAGACTTCTATGCGTTGCCACGCGTATGGTCGGAAAAACCTACGCAGGTTGCTGCATGTTCCAGATAACGCTAGGAGCAACTCGCGTCGCGCAACAGACAAATCGATGTCATTCGAGCTTATGCCGGCACTTGGAAGGGGGAGTGCAGGGTAATAGGACATAATCTCGAGGAGTAGCTCGTCAGGAAAGATTGCCAGCCCCGAGCTGTTGATTCCTTTCGTGGACGGAGATAGTTCTGCCGGTTCAGAAAATGTGTGATTTTCGGTCACGGCTGTCTTCTTGGAACGCTTCCTGGTCTTGACCATGGTGTTCGAGCCCGAAACAAGCAATGATTCTTGACGTGGGGAAGAGGTTTTGGGACAAGTTTCTTTTGCATGACTCGGAAAACCACTGGCAGGTCAACAGAAATAGTGTTCCCACGGTCAACACAGGGGCTAGTCATTGTTTGATGTAATGCAGACGCAGCGCCAAAAATTGTTTCTTACATATCAAAAATGTACTACACAGATTCACGGAGGTGCCGGATTACAGTGACGCTTGTGCAGCTTCCAGTCACTTGTAATTTTGGTCAACATCACCCTCGGGTATCCTAGAAGAGTTGCCTCACCTTTGCTGGCAGTTCTGGCTGCAATACACGATCTTACGACACCTCGAACACCGACCAAGACTTTGATCTGTTTCCCGTAAGAAGGAATCACAATCGGCATTGCAGCATCCGCGAATGGGATCAACCAAATTCTGCACTCCCATCAGTGTGCCATAATGACACCAGAGGTGTAGGTAGGTGAGGACGGCATTGTCTTCATGGATATCGGGGCTAGCCTCGAGTGTTCGAAGAGAGTCAAAGGTATGCTTCCAAACGGAAGCATTTTCCTTGGCAAGGCGATGGAGGAAGGTAAGCTCCTCAGCTTTCCACTTTTTGACTGAATTCATCTCCTCAAAGAGGAGAGGAAGGAGGAAGATGCTTTCCAATACTCTGTCTGAGTGAAGGTCAGGCGGTCAGACGATTTATCACGGCTTAGAATACTGATCGTCACCTTGTAAGTATTTAGATACGTTGCTGCCTCTCTTGCCACCATTCCATCTCAAAGTTTTTGCTGCGGACAGGATAACAGAACTAGCAACCTGAGCAGCCTGGTGCTTGGTAACGATTTCCGTGATGTGGGACCTCAGAGCGCCGAACTTCTGCTGTACAAGTTTCCTGAAAAGAAGTTCAATTGGTCACATAGCATCCTCAAACAGAGAGTCTAACTTAACGATGTCGTGTGCTATCCTGACACCTTCCTTGAACATATTGTGCGGGATCGTTTCACAATCGGAAGAGAAATCGCTCACAACCTTGATGCTACTGATTAGTGCTTTTTCCCAGAGTGGACGAGGTGCCTTTCCTGCGACACCCAGTTCAAATTCTTGGAGAATGGGAAGCATACAATCGGCGGAAATGTTGCTTGCAAAAAGATGATCAAATCGCTTGCGAGTTGGTCCTTTTTTCAACACTCTGTAATATTTGTCCGGCGGATTGACGTCCAAGTCCATAGGATAGTTGATCTCGTGAACGAGTTCTCTTGTTTTCATGCTCTTCCGTCGAAGGTCGTCATTATCCGCAAAGAAAAAGCAGTGGTCTACTATCTCAATAACTGGAGTTTGCAAACATAATATTCTGAGCGGACATGTTACGGAGGTCAGCTCTGGATGCCACCTCAAAAAGAAATGAAACGCACTCCAACCGTTCGAAGGCAGAACCACTCTCCTCCAGTTGTTCATCCTCTCTGTCATCGGGCCATGGGTCATTCACTTTGAACACCGCAGCAATGAAGTCAGCGGAGGCTGATATCAACGTGGGGTCGAGTTGTCGGGACTCAAAGGGGAACATATGCTGAAAGGCGCTCCAGAGACAGACTAAAATGCCATCAGCGTGGTCCGTCAAAGCTTGCTTTACACTGAACAGGTGCTGTGCTTCGCGTTTTAGGAGAAACCGGCGAATGTACCGCAGACAAGTCGAGTAGAGTTTGAGACAATAAGCCTGTATAATTCCGCATCGTCAGCTTCCGAGAAGGGGGCGCTGTGGAGAAAAATGGCCTTACAAAGTCCTTCACGTCTGGTTGAGACTGCACGATGACTTCATACACAGCTCCCTGCCTCTGACTTTATCCCGTAGAGTTGGCCAATGTACACCGACGTCGACATCGACATGGTCGAGAGCGTCTTTGAAGTGAGCGGGAAAGTAATCCGCCATGAGAAGCGGTTAGAGTCAGAGTGACTGGTTTGTCGCGGCATGGCTTCGAACATGTGGTCTTCCTTCGGGTCATTGATCACGGAATTGTCTAAGTCTTCTGGACCTTCAAACTTCACGTTCCATTGGTTTTGCAGAAAGACTGGCAGTCATAGGAGCCGATGAAGGGAGACAAATATTAAACGTAGAGCGGCAGAAACGGCAAAATGGGCAAGTCGACGTCTTACACAAGACTCCAAGAGCTAGAAAAGTTAAATTGACTCTGAGATAGGCTCAAGGGCCTCACGTGACACTAATAAAGGATGGCAGGTCCGTTTCTTTCAACTTCGTCCCCACCACCATCCCTTCCAGGACTTATATCCTATATTATCCTTCAAAATGACGAAGGGATACCTCATGAATAGTCTCATAGAGAAGGTAAGTCGATATCTATGACAATGAGCCTGACTAACACAAATCGCGTTTCAAGATGCAGTCGCCAGACCAGGACTTTCGGTGAGTGGCTCAAAAGACGCGTCATCTGCCTCAGAATTTGACATCGAATGCAAGATTCATGGGCCTGAATGACTTGATGACAGAGATCAAGCAGGATCCGGCTTCTTTTCAAGGCGATGAAGCTGTGGAGTACAAGGTCTTGAACATGGTACTGGCATTGGTTGAGGATAAGATTTCCGAAGTTAAGAACCAGGCAGTCAAATGGTGGGGTTTGAACTCCTTTCGTTGAAGCTCACTGATGCTCTCCCCAGTCTTGGCCAATTAATTAAAATACTGCGGCAAAGTCATATGGAGGTGGTCGTGGACAGGCTCATCGATTTCTCGGGCGGGAAGGACGAGGAGCTACGAGATATCTCAGGACTAGGTACGTGAAGTTCCATCTACGCGTCAATTCACAGTCTAAGACGCCGAAAAATAAGCACTCAAAACAATCACCTCCGAGTTACCACCCGATGGGAAAATAGCAGCATCAGCTTGCGCCAAACTGACTCCACGATTGTTGGGACAAATCCAGAACGTAAGTTGCACTGTGCCTTCGTAAATCTCATGTCATAACGTGACCGCAGGCAAGCACACCTCCTGAAGCCTTGGTCGAAACCCTCGCGATTCTGTCGATCCTCATTAGCAGGTTCCCAAACCATGTATCCGGAATCTCGTATACGCCCCCTCCTCTTGCCGTCTTGGCGCCACTTCTATCCCATGCACGACCTGTCGTTCGGAAACGCGCGATTGTGACTCTTTCGCAATTCATCCCGATCTCGCCACCAGCTCTATTTGCAGACATGTTGCAGGCCAACGTTTTGCCTAATCTTACCCCATCTGCCAGTTTGGACAAGCGAAGGACGACTGTGCAACTCGTCGCTGCTGTGGCACGGAACTCTCCCTCCCAGATTGCTCCAGCGTTAACTAACATTGTCCCGGCTATCTTGCAATCCGTGGAAAAAGATGACGACGAGTTGCGCGAAGGTTCTCTTCAGGCCCTGGAAGCGCTAGTCTTTCGGTGTCCTACGGAAAGTGACCCCTATCTGCCCATGATCATCGAGGTCGGGAACAAATACATCAGACATGACCCGGTAAGTGTCACTCGGAAGAATCTACGGCCTTATTTGACCTGTCGATAGAACTATGCAGGCGACGATGACGAAGACGAAGAAATGGCAGACCCTGACGATGATGGAGATGATGACGACGATGCAGGCGACGAGTAGGCTATCCCTGGCCTCTTCTTACGCGCGTATGCTCATGCATGCCAGGTACTCCGATGACGAAGATACGTCCTACAAGATCCGTCGCTCAGCCACGAAACTGCTCGCAGCCGTCATTGGGACACGACCGGATCGTCTGACGAAGACCTACAAAGATGTTTCGCCTGTCTTAATTTCGCGCTTCGGCGACCGCGAAGAAACCGTTCGTCTGGAGATTTGGGCGACCTATGTGGTCCTCTTGAACCAAACTACCCTCTACGGTGGTCTTCATGATGGCAAAGACGAAGCATCGCCCCGTGGCAAGAGGAAACGCGACACTGAGGAGCCTATGGATGTCGAGGAGACGCCGTACACGCTCCTAAAGTCTCAAGTACCCAACCTATCCAAAGCTCTACTGAATCAGCTGAAGTCATCGAAGACCCCTCCGGCTGTTCTGCAAGCCGGTTTCAGTTTGTTGCACGCCTTGTTGACTGTCCTTCCAGGATCATTATCTACCCAGGTCGCCTTGATTGTGTCTACTTCCAAGTCCGTCTTGTCGCAAGCACCCACCACTTCCACTTCAGCATTGCATCTCACTTGCCTTTCCTTCCTGGGCCTCTTCTTCTCAACGCATACCACTTCTACCTTCTCTAGCTCATTGCCCACTCTCACTCCGGTCTTGCTGAAATCACTCAACGAGCGGCACCCCAGGATTGCCTCTGAGACGTTCCGCGTCTTTTCTGCTCTTCTTAATGCACTGAAACCTCTGAAATCTAATGACTGGACTGTTGCATTGTACGACCAGACCCTCAGTCGACTTGGCTACCATGACACAGATGCGGAAGTTAGGGCTTATGCGGAGGACTGCGCAGCTGATATTTGGATCTGTGCCACCGAGGTTGCAAGCACGCGAGACAGGAAGGAGTGGGAGTACATCTGTCGCACGACGGGCAAGACGGATGGTGCTGTGAAGGTCATCACCAAGGTCGCAAGGGAGGTGAAAGTCGGAGATGATTGGGTCAACGGATGTGTGGCATGGCTCATGGGCCTGTTGAAGAAGAGTGGAAGGTTAGGAAAAGTGGAGGTATTTACCGCGTTGGACGTACTGCTGAAGAGGTGCATCATATCCATTCCTTTCCTCACGCTTGTATACTCACAGTGCTGTAGCTATCAATCCGGAATTCCGGCCGACCTGCCATCATCCCTCATCCCTCAAGTGAAGACGTACATCTCGACTGCCGACATTTCCCTACTTTCTCAGGCTCTTTCCACTCTCGCCCTCCTGCTAGAGCTTTCTCCAGCAGCGACCTTCCCTGAAGTCGAACACGATCTCCTCAACGACATTTACACAGTCACACACTCGCCTCTCGTCGCTGGAGTCGCGCTAGAATCGCTTTTCCGGTTCTACTCCGCCCTTATCCAGGCGGATAATCAGATCGCGACCCATGTCGTGCCTAATCTCGTCATCGCAGCGGAGAAGGCCCCGAAGGCAGATGCGAGCGCCGCGAATGTTGCAAAATGCATTGCGGTGGTTGTCAAGAACCAGCTTGGTGTTGCCGCTGGCACTATTGCAGAGTACTCCAAACACCTCAAGGTCCGTTCTTGTAATATTTGATCGGTCTACTATCCAGAGCTGACTTGCAACTCATGTCTTCAGAAGGGTACGAAAGCGAAACCTTCTTTGGTCATCCTCAGTCTTATCATCATCGGCGAGCTTGGGCGCTTCATGTATGCAGTTACTTGTCTCTTTCTGTGCTCTTGTCCTAACATCTCTTTAGTGATATGGTGCCACAGCGTGACATCTTTAACCTGGTTGTGGAACACTTTGGCTCAGAGCAAGAGGAGATGCGTGCAGCGGCCGCTTTTGCCGCTGGTAACATCGCCATCGGAAATCTTCACCAATTCTTGCCTGCCATCGTCAAGATGGTCGAGAGTGATCCTAAGAAGCGGTTGTTGGCCTTGCATGCCTCAAAAGAGGTCAGCTATACCTTTCTCCGTTATATTTCGTTTGGCTGATAACCCACTAGGTTGTCACCCACTGTTCACAAGCGCAATTGGAGAGTGTTGCCGACCTTCTGTGGGGCCCGTTGTTCGAGAATTCGCAGAACGCAGAGGAGACGACTAGGAATGTCGCTGCTGCCTGCCTTGGCAAGTTGGCCACCACTCATCCTTCAAAATATCTTCCTCAATTACACGTAAGCGAACAACATTTGTTCAGCCTTGGATCAATTCCTGACACCATTTGTCCTGTAGGCCCGTATCAAGGACGAAAACCCTGATACTCGTGCAACAGTCGTGTCCGCAATCCGTTATACGTTCGCAGATACGTCTCAGTCGTACGATGAACTCCTTTCTCCTTTGCTCGTCGACTTCTTGTCGCTCATGGTCGATGAGAACTTGGTAAGTCTATTCTTTTTCTTTGATATAATGTCGGCTTACGTTCAGTTGTAGAGCGTCCGCAGATTGGCCTTGTCATCATTAAACTCAGCTGCTCGAACGAAGCCCCATCTCGTCAGAGATCACCTCGTTTCGCTGCTACCCAACCTATACAAGGAGACGATCATCGATCCGGCTTTGATCAGGACCGTGCAAATGGGTCCTTGGACCCACAAGGTCGATGATGGTCTCGAGACCAGGAAGACGGCATACGAGACGATGTATACACTGGTGCGTTCCAGGCGGCATCACGTCATTACGCCACTCGCTAATCCCTGTCTTTTCTATAGCTCGATACCTGTCTCGCAAAGCTGAACCTCCACGAATTCCTGGGCCGCGTCATTCCAGGCCTCGCAGATGACTCGGACGAGATCAAGGTCATCTGCCACATGATGCTCTTCCGCCTCTCGCAAGTCGCCCCAGCAGCTGTTGCCCAGAGCTTGGACGAGGCCACTCCTCAACTCGAGAAGACGATGAAAGGTGCGACGGTCACAAAGGACACTGTCAAGCAAGACCTCGAGCGTGCAGCTGAGCTTCAGCGAAGCGCCCTGCGTGCGGTGGCGGCCCTCAGCAAAATCAGCTCGGGTGTCAGCCCCAAGTTCGACTTGTTCGTTGAGGACGTCAAGAAAACTCCAGCATGGGCAGCTGAGTTCAAGGAACTTGTTGGGCAATGACTCTTTGAAAGGCCTGACGCTGGTCAACAATTGTACTAGAGATGAGCGAGCTCAATGTATTTCTATATTCTTAATATCGTCCTATCCTCTTTCTGTGTAAACATGTCGCAGGGTCGCAATACCGTCTCGTGTGTGCGGCAACTACAGCAATACGCGATGACTCTTATCACAATACCTCGGCCTTACAGCAACAATGACTGTTGTGTAGGCAGTAGACGATGGCATCCGACCGTCGTTCACGAAGTTTCTAGGAGTTCTCCTTCGAAGTGCGAAGATTCGGTCAGTCATTCACTCTATTTCATCAGTGGTTTGTCTCTAGACGAGCATCATGCTATTCTGTTAGAAAACTCACCGTCTTCGTTGCCAAAAATCCATTACAGTGGTTCTGACATCCCCCAATGCATGCTCTACCATCTGGCCAGGTTAGCCCTCTCTCTATCTCTCACAAGCTTTCTGCGCTCGAGGGTGCAGATTAATGCAATACAGCCCATCAGAATCGTCTCTAATGTCGTTAGGCCGAGCTCGATGCAACCAAGCACCACGCCACCCAAGGATAGTTGAAGTCCTCAACCACAAACCAGCACCGCACCCCCGTCGCCGCCGCCCAAGCCAACATGGAAGAACGACCGGTCTTGTTTGAGCGGCTTCCCCACGAACCACCTTCAACATGCTCAACTTCCAGGACAACCTGGTCCTGAAGGACAACAACACCATGATGTCGATCCCCCTCGGCCCATCTACTAGCACCTACTCCGCCACCGTCGTCGATATGCCCTTCGTCGCGCCCATCGCCCTTGCTAACCCCCGCGCCCATCGACTCCTACGCGTCCTGCTCTGGACGTCCATACCACTCTGCTGTATCATCCTTACAGACGCCATCTTCATGCTCTACATCACCTCCACAAGGAGCTTCTACCTCGCACCTACTGCCTTTTGCATTACGATGCTACACCACCTCGTCGTTCTCGTCGTCTCCTACTTTGAAAGGAGGGGACGGGTACCGCTAGGGGACGGGATCCCTGTGACAGTGCACATGGGAGCTATTTTCGGCGCATGGCTCTATACTACGACGATGAACCTGTCTCCATGCATAGAGCTTAAATGTGATCTCAGTTGTCACAGGCTCACAGCAATGAATAGGTCCGTGCCACCTGAAGCGACGCGGCTGTGACCTATTTGGCATGATGATGCCCTAAATAGGTAAGTGGATACACTTTGAAGGCACTGCCTCCGGAAGGCCATGCTTGCCCCTGCGCCAGAGATAGCTGCTTCTGGGGTCTAGAGACAGCATGTACACGTCACATGTGTGTCTACGAAGCAGTAAATAGGCCCTCGACAATTGCTAATTCAGATCCATATACTGCAAGTACTAATTTTTAGGAGCTCGGGAAGAATGGTATTGAAGGAAAGAAAGAGTCTGGTTTCCGTGTCAAAATCCGTAAACCTCTAGTCTAAACATTCAAGTTCGTTGCAATCGGCTTAACGTGAATATTCTTCTCCTTGGATGCCCCCTAGTGTTACGTCTCTGGGATATCCACGTCATCGAATCCTATTCGCAAGTTCCGAGCTCAAATTGCATCTTCTCCCTCTTCATAAAAATGAACTCCAAGAACATTGCGCTCCTCAGCTCGCTCTGCATGGTCTCCACGGATCTCCTCCGGGGTCGCACTCGCTCTACCCACCTGCGTTTACGCTTGTGCCAACATTCGCCGGGACCAGCGTGATACAGCGTACCACACAATGTGTTTTTCGACACTGTTCAGCGACGCACAGTTCATGCGCGGCCCGAGATTACGACCTGCCATCCACTGGTATCAGTCGCATGCTCGTCGAGAAGGATTCCAGCTAACCGGCCTCGAGGATGCGTTTCAGCGTGTCGTCGACCTTAGGATATACTAAAAGGAGTGTTGCTTTGTCAGACCCATGACTTCAAAATTAAAGAGAAGGAAAGATGCTATAAGCAAGTGTAAGGTCGTCTACTAGAGGATGCGCCTATGCATAGTACTGGTACAAGTGTCCGATTTCTGTATAATAGCTAGTCCGTAAAGTCCATGAATTTCATAAAAACGTAATATTCTTGTTGGACGAGTCTTTCAGACAATCGATGAGTACTCCACCGAACATAGAAGCAGGAAAAGGCCACTCACCATCCGGATTGCGCGTTACAGGTTATAGCTGCCCAATTGGTACCACCTCGCCGTATTCGCGAGGCCCACTATCTGTTGACGCTCGCGCGTGCACTTCAACGCCAGGAGCCCCGTCACGACCATCTCAAACAGCTCGAAGACCCACTCGAAGTGCCCCGCAATTACATTGTACCTTGGGGTTTCTGCCCATCCCCCGACAATAATCACCATGGCGCAGGTCATCCCAGCCGCTGCCGCCCAGGCGATCATAATTAACCATCCACAAATGATGGTCGCTTTCCGCGCCGTCGCGGGGAGCTTGCCTGCTAGTGCCTCCGGCCCGGCCTTGTGCTCTTTATGGGAGAGTGCGAGGATGGTGATATTGTGGATGAGGGAGACGCCTAACGCGCCGAACGCAATGAAGAGGGAGAGGTAGCCGAAGTAGACCATGGAGAGTCCGAAGATGATTATATTGAGCCCCATGGACATCCAGAGGAGGTGTTGTATCTGGCGGTGGATGGGCGAGGATGGGTGGGAGAACCCGGTGGTGGTGCCAGCCGCTAAGGGAGTAGTGTAGGGAG